TGTATTTAAATAAATAATTATTATAAATTAAATTTTTATATTTAATAAAATAAATAAGAAATTGTGATGATAAAAATAGAAATAAGTATATTATATTGAGGTATAAAGAGAAAAAAAAAAGTAATATGTCAGTTACATACTACTTATTCAGTTGTTTTAGAATTCATTCTAAATTTACCAGTCAAATACCGTTTATTACTATTGTAAGTTGAAACAAACATGATTTTCTTACACTCGTAAAATAGTATACATTAAAATTTTATTATTTACTACGATCCAGACAATGTGTAAGAGAATGAGAGAAAGGAAAAGGAGAAGGTTGCGGACTCTCTCTTCATCTTCTTTATCTTCCTCTTGTTCTTACCGCCTGGCTTTGTTTTCCCTCTTTGATGGTTCTCGTCAATATCCTTCACAGGGAAATCATCTCAAGTCTGTGCTAGCTTCTCCTCTTTGTTGTATTTTGAAAAAGGAAATGATCTTCATTTCAAATTTTTTTTTAGCAAACAGAAAAAAGAAGTAGATTGATTTAGTTTCTGGGGCGTTAAATTCAAAAAATATAGACATGAAACTTGTACACTTAGTTTTCTCTCCGTATTCTTAGCACTCATCGGGTTTGGTGTTGAAATCTGATAAACGAGTGGGGGAGGTGAGGAAGTAGTGGGGCTTTGGAGTTTTTTAGAAAGCAATCATCATGTCTTCGGATAACCCAATTGAATCGATCTTCAATTCGATTCAAGTAGTTATGGAAGCTCTTTCTCCACTGGAATACGAGTTCAAAAAAACGACTGAAGGTTTGAAAAAAATGGGGAGTCAAAAGAAGCATGGGACATAGCCGGTGTTGTTGGCTTCATCGAAGACAAAAGAAGATGAACACAGATGAAGATGAAGAAGCAGAGAGAGAGAGAGATAGACGTTGGGATGAATTATCCTTTCCAAAACATGGTCTAAGAACAATTTGTTCTTTTAATCAAATTTTAAACAGTGTTAGTATTTAAAATAAAATTGAACATTATGGAATAAATTTTAAACAATAAAATATTTAAAACTAAAATATAAAATTTAATAGAGCCTAAATTAGGTATTTTGTTCTTATTTTAATTCTACAAACAAACACAAGCATGCACACTAAATTAAAAGTATGGATAAGTTCAGATCCACCAAATTATGTGAAATAATTTTTCAATAAGAATGAGAGAATCAAGATTTGGGTACTAAATCACTAACTCTAATATCATCTAAAAAAATAGTCTAAATTAATTATCCTTTAAAATTTAAGTTGATAAGAAAAACTTCAATCAATTATTTATATTTTAACATAATTAATGTCATGTAAATTATTTTGGACCATTTTATGTTTATTTGGATGGTGCAGAAAGACATCTTCTTCATTAATAAATTATTTGAGTTTGCAAAAAAAAAAAAAAAAAAAAAAAAGGAAGTTAAAATTGATCAATACATATTTAATGAAAGTAATATGGATACATATTATGATAAAATATGTAATTTATTAGAATATTTTTAATTATTATAATTAGGTTAGTTCTAATTTATAAGTTTACAAGCAAGACAAACTTATTAAACCTTGTTTTTTGTTTCTGTATAGGAAGAATCTTATAGTATACAGGAAAGGAAGCTGAAGGCACAAGTAAGCACCATGCTTGAATTTCTGGGGGATCCACTCTATAGCCTAGATTTAATTGATACTCTCGAGAGACTCGGATTATCTTATCACTTTGAGAATGATATAGACAAAATCTTGAAATGCTTAAATGAAAAAAATAAAAAAAATTAATAATTTATGGAAAAAATGTAATTTACATGCCACAGCACTTGAATTCAGACTCCTACGACAACATGGTTACCACCTATCTCAAGGTAATTAAACATGACCATGTCACCACTTTTTTTTTTTCAGTTAAATAATATATAAATTGATGCTTAAAGTTGCTTAAGTTAGCATGTAGAAATTCATAAAATAAATATTCAATCGTATAATGCAGAGATTTTTAATATTTTCATGGATGGGAAAGGGAGCTTCAAGGCATGCCTCAATGAAGATATAAAGGGAATTTTGAGTTTGTACGAAGCTTCGTACCTTTTGGTAGAAGGTGAAACAATTCTAGAAGAAGCTAGAAAGTTTGCAACAAAACATCTTGAGGAATACATCAAGCAAAACAATAATGATCTTTCAATGCTTGTCAGCCATGCTTTAGAGCTCCCCTTACACTGGAGAGTTCCAAGAGTGGAGGCCAGATGGTTCATTGAGTACTATGAAAGAAAACAAGATATAAACCCTGTCTTGCTTAAGCTTGCAAAGTTGGATTTTAACATAGTGCAGGCCATTTACAAAGAAGATCTGAAACGAGAGTCAAGGTAACTTAAAAGCATGCAAATATTTTGTTAGTTTATCTCTTGATTGGAAATACTTAGTCAATTCTAACATCAAACTTAGGCATATCTAATAGTCTTATAGGTCATAAAAAATGCATAAACACAATTTGAATATTAGATTTTTTGAGTTAAATATCACCAATGTTATAGTGTTAGATAAATAATAGATTAATTCATATTTTATTAAGTTAATTTTTATTATAATAAATTTTTAGTTGTCTAAAGCTCAACTTATGGTTGTCGCTGTCTTATTTTAACTAATTAACTTTCAATACAAGATATATTAAGTTTTGTACTTGAGACAGTTTTAATTTAACAAGTTTGTGCATAGGATCATTGTGTAAAAACTTGATTACTATTAAGAATCAATCAATGAAATTGCTTAATATTCTTCAAAAACTTAAAATATTCTCTCTCTTTTTTTCACTCTTTAGTGTTAATGTTTGGTATATTTTGTAGCTAATAAGTTTAATTTAGTGAAATTTTAAACTTTGAAAGCTTTAATAAACTGGATTGATTATTTTTATGCTTCCGTGATACCTATGTCACTTTATTGAATTAATATTAACATATTACTAGACCGAATTAGTTGTGTTTACACTTTCATCTTACTTAGACAACTTTGTTGGATTAATATAAAATATTATGTACTTAGAATATTGTGCGGAAAAATCTTGATCATTTGCCATAATTTTCTTAAACTAATATGCAACTTTCTAATTTTACAAAATAAGATGGTGGAAGAATATCGGCTTCGAGGACAAACTGGCCTTCTCGAGGAGCAGGCTGATGGAGAACTTTTTATGGAGTATCGGCCTTATATTTAAGCCTTAACTTGGATATTACAGACAAATTGTAACAAAAGTAAATTCTCTTGTGACTACTATTGATGATATTTATGATGTATATGGTACTTTTGATGAACTGGAGCTATTTACAGATATTCTTAAGAGATTAGTAATACACACACTCTTCTAAATTAATTGCAGTTGTAGCATAAGATGATAAATATTTACTAACTTTTTATTACAAATATTAAAATTACAGATGGGACATTGATGCACTTGACCAGCTCCCGAAGTACATGCAAATATATTTTCTCGGCCTCTATAACTCTATAAACGAAATGTCCTTTCATATTCTTAAAGAATATGGAATTAATGTCATTCCTCATCTAAGAGAAGCAGTAAGTATCCAATTCACTTTCACTAATGAAATAACTTTTTTAGCATAGATACATATATTTTATTAATTAGATCCATTTGCATAACACAATAAATGATACGACTTTTTTTAACAATAATACATATAATATATACATTAAGACTCGGATCCACACTCTTATAAAAAGGGTTTGGAAGTACCAACTGGATATCTACCCAAGAATGATTGGTAATTTAATAAAACAATTTATTTGTTCTTAGATTTATAAATTAATTTTGTATATAAAAGCCTTAGTTTATAGAAAAAAAAAAGAAATACGAATCAAATTTACTGCAACTCAAGGACCTAATCAACTGTTCTTTTTCTTTTTCAGTGGGCAGAATTATGCGAAGCATATTTATTGGAGGCCAAGTGGTATTATAGTAAATACAGCCCAAGCCTAGAAGACTACATGGAAAATGCATGGATTTCAGTAGGAGGAGCAATTGTACTGAAGCATGTTTACATTCTCACAAACGCTATAAACAATAAACCATTAGATTGCTTGAATGAATATCATGATCTTATTCGTTGGTCCTCAACAATTGTGCGTCTCGTAGACGATCTTGCGACATCTTCCGTATGTATCTAATTTGATAAAACTTCAAACATATTTTTCAATTTAATTGAGATTCATTTGATATTGAATTCGTTATTATAAATTTTGCCTAGTCTATTTTCATCTTTTTCATAATATTTCAATTTTGTTCCAAAATATACTACTGATAACATGTTTTTATACGCATTATAATGCTTTGTTGCTCGTTGTGTTTATTTAGGAAGAGCTTAAAGGAGATGTTTCAAAGGCAGTCCAATGTTACATGCAAGAAACTGGAGCATCAGAGGAAGATGCTCGTCAACATATCCGATATCTGCTTGAGGAAATGTGGAAAAAGATAAATACACATATAATCACATATTCTCTCTCACACTCTGAAATGTATAGCGTTGCTGCAATGGATCTTGCAAGGATAGCCCTGTGCATATATAGGCTCGGAGATTCTAATGGAGATGGATATGGTGTTCAACATTATGTATCATCACTACTTGTTCATCCCATTTACCATATGCAGTGAAGGGTATATAGAAGATGGAAAGTATGGATATAATATGATGATTATATTACATATAATCATCACTACGAAACCCCATAACTTACGTGTATGCATACAGGTTTCTTCATATATATATATATATATATAGCTCCAGCGGAAGCATTAATCGAAGGGCTTTTGTATATATAGATATGTATCTGTACTATGCAGCTTATATATACATATATAAATATATAAGGAAGCTGTATTAAATATATATATATATATAAAGAAGCAGCTTTTATATATATATATATATAAGGAGGTTTTATTATATATGTATATTTGTGTGTTTGTATATATATATTATTGGGTTAAACTCACCCTATTCCGATATCACTTAAATAAAAATCTGATCCGAATCAATTTCGGTTAAAATCCAAGATGAATATGAACAAATTGGCTAAAGTTGAACGAACTTTTTGCCTTCCCTAGTCATGAATCCAACTTTCGAGTGAAATTGAATGAATTGGTTGTCGGTGAGAAAACAGAAGATGGGAAAGTAGGGAAGAAAAAAGAGAAGATTTCTAAGTGGAGTGAAGCGGTGCCGGCAGAGAGCAGGAAAACAGAGTTCCGCAGGGGTTTGTTCTTCAGGGCCTCAGTAGATTGATCTCACTCTATTTTTATTGATTTCACTAGGAGGAGCATGTCTAAATGTTATAAAAAGGTAGAGGTGGGTTTCAACACTATAAAATCTCTGTTTATATTTATATAACATAATTCAAATTTATTTATATTATTTTGTTCAATTTTAGATTTTAATTATTCAATAATTAGAACATCAAAAACATTTTATTTATTTGATTTGATTTAGAGTACAATCAATTCAATGTCATAGGTATGAAATTAGAGTATAAGAGAAGATGCTCGTAAATAGAGTCTCCCTCTAATTGGAAAACGAAAATATCTAATGAGGTTCCAAAGAATCTAGCAAGATGGTCCTGTGCATGTATCCATTTGGAGACTCTTATGGCCTTAAAGATTGTGTTACCAATACTCATCCATCTTATTTCTTCACATCTATATACATAAATAAGTGCACAGACATACACATTCACTTGTGATATATGTATTTGATACATATTTCATCTTCAAATCCTGGAATAATCAATTCAATCTGAATCATCACAATTCCCAACTCATCTTCTTGCTATCAGAAAACAAAGCTTCATTATTTCCTGGTCCTTTAGTGTATTGACCAGGAAAAGCTTGATCTTAACAAGTCTGATTTCTCAGCATTGGTCAGTTCCCATCAAAATCTAACCAAATTATACAATAAAATCATATAGAATGACCCTTGGTCTCTGTTCTCGACATGAGCCATTTATCAATCAAACATCACTATGTATAACAAAACGTTTCCTCGGCCCTTGTCCTATCCTTTTTCATTTTCAACTCATATTCGGAATCCAAATACGGGTATGTTTCTCCTTAATGCATGTAGTAAGTCTTTCTACTCTTTTTATTCTAAAATAAATATGCATGTGCAAGTCACGCACACAAAGAATGACCTAATTAATCGATAAGTCACAGTAACTTGTAACTTAGGCTGCTGCAGACTTTTTATCGTCATGATCATCTAGATTTAGGGCTTGAAGCAGCTTCGGCCAGGATTCTGGTATTCCTCCAGGAAGATCAAATTCTAACAACTTCCCACGACTCCGATAGAACTCTTCAACAGGTTGAGTCTGCAGGAAAAGAAATGCACATGTCAGTAATCCAAGCATAAATGAGTATACCAAGCTCAGATTCACTTCTCCACATACAGATGCACATGTGTCATGTTATATAAAGTGCATACTATAGAGATGGCCAATCATCTAGGCATCTTTTGAGTTGTGATAGATTATATGTAAAATCAGATTCTTGAATCACAAGATTTTGGAAAATAAATGATAGATACTGGAAATCTACCATCTCATTGTAAATACGGAGTCGACCCTTAACAACTTCTTCAGTATCATCAGCCCGAGTAATAAGCTTTGACGAACATTGTGGAGGAGGAAGAAGTGGAGGCATATACATTCCAGACATTCCATGTTCATCCTTTAAGTCAATACAGGCCACGTTGTAATTTCCTCCGCATTCACTACAAATCCTCCTTCCCAGACATTTTGCAAGCAAAGCATCTTCCCTAAGCTTCAGATTAATCACTAAGTCAATGTCCGTCACACCCTCCAATATTTCCTGCAACATAATGAAACACACGAAAGCATGCACAAAAATCAATTAATCAATTTTTTTAAAATTAATTTACTATTCCTCAGACAGTGAGGGTATCAGATAAGAAGAGAAAATGGGACCTGAAAAATATAGTTCCATTTTCAACACACCCCAGTTAGAAATAATTGACATCATCATCAAAGAAAGCAACTCCTGCAACTAGCCAATTTAATGACCTCATTAAACCAATCTCCAAAAATGAAGAGAGATATTAAATGCTAATCTACGGCAATCTAGGTGATTCTAGTTGGGCAAAAGGTTTTCCTTCTTCTATTCCTATTCTCTGAAAAAAAAAATTATTTTTTGTTTTCTTTAAATAAACAATAGGAAACGCGCCTAATTTTGAAATTGAGTTTTCCTATTTTCTAACAACTCAACATGTATCTTCAACAATTTTTTATTCTTATAGAAAATCTTCTGAAAAGTGATCTCTATTTTCCACAGCTAAACACATCCTAAAATTCCAGAAGTAACCACCTATTCAAAGGATTAAGGGATATTATGGAGACCTATAGTTAGAAAATCATGGTTCCAGAACCGTTGTGTTTGGTTTAAGGGTAATCTTCCCTGCACAATGCAAAGGATTAAGGGATTTATTGATGTTTGGACTACTATGTTTTCATAACTGTGCCATTCTATTTCAGCAGCTCCTAATGAATTTAGCAAAAGAAGAAATCCATTCTCTTATTTCTGTAATTGACCATATAAACAGTACCAAATCAATACAGTTTGCTCCTGAAAAAGATCCCCAAATTATAGGCTAAAACCATATCATAATCAGTAGGAAATTTATGACTGTTTATAGCTCCCAAATCATAACTTATCAGTTTAATTATGCACTTTTGCCAATAATATCCAGGAAAAGCTGCTAAACTCTCATAAGCTTCTAACTTCAATCTATCTGCTTATCCAAGTTTTCAAAACGAACATTGCCGCCATTGCAAGAGCCATTGAACTACTCATTAACTAAGACTTCCCTTTCAAAATTGCAGGACTGAAGATTCATAGTATACATAACATACAATATTACACAGTGCTAAATTCGTACTTTCAAGTCACAGGGAGTACTCACCGCCTGCCTTATTGTTCGAGGGAAACCATCAAGAATAAAACCAGACTCCCCCTTAGCTGCTCCAGCTTCAAGATGCTTAGACAACAAGCTTATTATAATCTCATCGGATACCAATTTTCCATGGTTAACAATCTCCTTAAGCTGCAAAAAAGAACATGAAGCCACAAAAAACAACAAAACAAACAAAGACAGCGCCCATTAGTCCGGACTCTGCACATACAACATATTTTCACCAGTGCAAATCCATAAAGAAAAATCAATGAAGAAATAATGGGAATTTGAAGTAAACAAAAGCCCAGAAGTCAAATCACGGAAAAATTCAAAGGAAACGACCTGATTCGTGAAAAAGAAGAAAAACCCTAACCTTAGAGGCAAGGGGACCGGAGGAGGAGATCTCGTCGCGGACGAGATCGCCGGTGGCGATGTGAGGGACGCCGAGAAAATTAGAGAGCCGAGAGGCATAAGTTCCTTTACCAACACCAGGGCAACCGAGAAAAACCCACTGAACGTTTCTGGTACTCGGGTCCCGTTTCAGGAGCGGCGACTTCGTCATCAACAAAGAAGCCGCCTTGAGGTCATTT